ATCAACTGCAATGTAGGAATTGAGAGATGATGACAAAACTCATTCGGCAAATTAGACGCCCTTCTGGATGATTGAATTTTGCCCCCGCTCTGACTTACGTCAAGCGGTCCGAATGTACAGCGGYCTTGTTAACTCAATCCCGCGAAGGAGTTGAATTATCTGGAATCAGTTTGGAAATTCCCCTCTGATTGGTCAAATTAAATCGGAGAATAATCAAATAATTACGACTGCTGATACATCAGTTACATTTATTATTTTGCGGATATTACGTTTTTGCAATTTCTCGTAAAATATTCGTGATATCACTATCAGTGTTAGACTCTTCCACAGTCTCTCGCCCGTCCRTTCCGTCTCCACGCTTAGAGACTGTAACGGTACAATGACCGAAAGGACTCATGGGTCCCGAAAACTTGGACCCAGCGTGCTTTGGGAACCAAAATACTCGTCCACAGTCTCTCTCGTTTTAATATTTTCAAGATGGCGGCGAAAACAAGAGAGACTGTGGACGAGTATTTTGGTTCCCAAAGCACGCTGGGTCCAAKTTTTCGGGACCCATGAGTCCTTTCGGTCATTGTACCGTTACAGTCTCTAAGCGTGGAGACGGAACGGACGAGCGAGAGACTGTGGAAGAGTCTATATCAGTGTAATTAAAACTCGAAATGCACCATGGGAAGTTGGTAACACCACAGCCAGCCTGGTCACACCTCGCGGTAACGTACGTATCATCACCTATCGTACATTCATTTGTCAAATTTAGTATTTTTTATAATTGCATGTAACTTCAGCAGAGAAGATGGATATAAAAGGTTACTGCAGGTGGTAGTGTGTGAATCAGTTTGCAATCATCACATTTGGTGTGTTGTTTCTGGTTTCCTGAWGCTAAGCCGACATCAAACAACTTTCAAACCAATCGATCGTCCATAGTTTTACTTTAAATTACGTTTGTATCTGTTAGAACAAAACGCCATAAACATCACATCAGTATTTTCCAACGTCAAATGTTTATTTATCTTTGAGTTTCTAAAATTAAACATTAACGAATAGAATAATTTTGAAGCCAATTGACCGACCTATTTCCGGTCAGTCTCTCGGACGACAGGCCTCGAATTTCATCCAAGTAGGAAAAGAATCGTTGACAAAAAGTCCACCTTCCAACCATCACAAATCCTTACATCTGGACAGATGTGTTTATGACTCTAGAATTATACATAAGATGCTTTATTTGGTGAGCGGAAGAATAATTCTAGCTTGCTAAAAGAAGCGACCTTGTGCGACTTCATATTGGATTTCCCGAGAACCATTTTGTCTTAAAGTTAACATCTAGTTTCTATGGTCGAAGAATTTCAGGTACAGTAATTATCAAAGGATAAGTATATTTGTAATGGAGGACATWAGATGTCGGTAAGCGCTCGCTTGCTCATCGCTGATTATCTCTCCTCACTCCATAGTAACAGCCACTGAGATTTCATAACATATAGACATCATTATTCCAAATCGGCGATACAGTAAAGACGTCGTCTGACGATGCATCAGCTAACTAGAGTGCMGTCCACTAACATTTATATACCATACTTTGGATTCTAATTTTGCCATTCAAATTTGCTGAAGTATGGGGTTTTTTGGCGAGAAAACACATTCTGTGTGCTGACTACTGAGCAGTAAATTTATTCACAGCATCTCGCATTATCTACTAAATATTCTCATCGATCCCTTTTCCATGTCATTTTGGTCAGTGGAATACCAAATATCGATGGAAAAATCATTAAAATTACAGTAAACTAAGGGTATTTTGTAAAGATAACAGAGGCTATTTTGGTTTTCAATTTATTTTTCTAAAACATTTAAGATTGTTATCAATTCATGTTATGCGTGACGCTAAACACCTTTAGTGCAACTGAACAGAACCAGAACACCTTGTACACCATACGTGCTGACTTTCAATGTCTGTAAGGAGCACTTCTTAAATATTTTATTGTACAAAAACGAATTACATCGATTCAAGGATGKTTAAAGATGGTTTTGTAGCATAATATAGGTGGAAAGACTCATAAATGTCGTTGATGTACTGTTTGCTCGAGAGGTCACTCGGTAAGTAAGTGAGTGTACATTCAGCTAGAGGAAAGTATCTTTTTACTTTGTCAATAACAAACGCAGTTCACACAAAAAACYTTTAACTCAATACGTCGTTTGTTATCAAAAGAGCAGCGAAGAGTGGCCATGGCTTTACCGATTTCATTTTTAGCACCAGCAGTATTATTTTTGTAATCTTTTTATCGACATAGAATATGGAAATACCGTATACTCTCTTACCTTTTCCTAATGTTTATTGAGGTGATCACGTGATGACGCGCTTTCCTTTGAAACGCTTATCGAGGCCATGACAGCTCTTCAATTTGTAAATAATATCTTTTTTTACTTGACCGCTTTTGAATAGATAGGTAACGCTGCACAGAGAGAGTCATGGTCTAATTTTGTTTACTTTCTTTCTAGATATACAGACGTTGCTATCGAGATAAGTACCCAATACTACCCACAAACCTTAGCGGTATGTGTCAGTGGGTCTCTCGTTCTGTCAGCCACTGTGATGTGTAGACTACAATGGGCTACACTTGTATACTATCTGGTTGTCATCATCATCATAATCGACGATTTGTCGTGCTTCATGAAGACCGGGACGGCAGGTAAGAGAGGCACCTTTTCTACGGCAAGGAGAAAGTACGCCAGTTATGCTAATGAATATTGCTTGAATCTTTAGCCGATGTTGGTAGCTGTACAAATACAAACAGAAGTGTCTGTAACAGTTCTACAGTTCAAGTAATGCCTTCTTGTAACTGTGGTTACTATAGAGACAATACAAGCTGCAAAGGTCAGTATACTTTATCGTGGACATGCACCTTAGTATACCTGATATAGTGCTAGTGATGACATCATCTGACTACGACAGATCTGTACTAACATWTATTGTATATTGTGCAGCATATACACCCCCTGTTGRTATTAGTTGTAACGCTAGTATACCTGATATAGCGATGACCTCATCATCTGACTACGACAGATCTGTACRTGTACTAACATATATTGTATATTGTGCAGCATATACACCCCATTTTAGTATTAGTTCTAATGCTAGTATACCTGATATAGCGATGACCTCATCATCTGACTACGAYAGATCTGTACTAACATATATTGTATATTGYGCAGCATATACACCCCCTGTTGGTATTAGTYGTAACACTAGTATACCTGATATAGCGATGACCTCRTCATCTGAYTACGACAAACGTCACGCAGCGCGTGATGCAAGACTTCATAGTAATTCTAGTGCTTGGTGTGCTAACAACAGTGTGAACTCGTCTCAATATTTACAGGTAAAATATATACTATTACTCTTTCATTAATAATGAACGTACATGTTATCAACATCGCCTCCATAGTAACACGATCTCTGTAGTTATTGTCCGACCATGCGCGCAGTTCGTTGTTTGATCACAGCTATTCACTATGGTTTGATTTCAGATCAATATTGGCAAAGTGTTTGAAYTATCACGCATTGCTACACAAGGAGCAAACAAAGGAAACGTTACTGGCTATGTTACGTCATACAAGATAAAATATAGTTTAAATGCTGATGCCTGGTACACGTACCAAGACACTGGTAACTCCTCAGATAAGGTATATATTCCCATATGTTAGCCTGTGCTTACACAGCTTGTGATTGGACTACAGATTAGTATTGGTAGCCATTTCAATACTGCTATAATACCACAGGGGTACCATCTTTTAAAATCAACATGAATGAAGAGATAATTCATTAATATGATTTTTGACCTTGACTAGATATTTCCTGGTAATCAAGATTCATTCAGCGTGTCATGTAACGAACTGAACACGTCTTACCCCACCCCCCTCGTGGCAAGATTCGTAAGAGTTCTTCCAGTCACGTGGGTGGGAAACATTTGCATACGTATGGAACTATATGGAGGTAAGCAACCATTGTATTGACGTGTGTCGACATCACCCACTGATCACAACACATGTATTGAGCATGATATTTAGATGTGTCTTACAAGTGCCATGGTTTATGAATGCTATTAATATATCTTATCTTATCTGTTCGTTTGTCCCCAGTCACTCACAAGTGTCCACCAGTAAACAATACTTGCRGCTTAAATGCAACATGTGCTATTTTTAGAAACTCGACCGTTTGTCACTGCCTTGATGGATTYATAGGAGATGGTTACAATTGTACAGGTATGTACATGTACTATCTAATTTTCACGTTAAATGGTGAACAAACTAGACTGAACCAGACAGCCGCTGAGGAAGAGCGCGCGCTGTGGTGTGGAGGGCGAGCGCAATAACATACAGGTTACCTCAGTAAAGCTAAACGTTCCTTGTGTTGTTTTTTTTTCTTCAGACAAAAACGAGTGTGAGACACAGATATTATATCCTTGTCATCYCAATACGACTTGCGTCAACACACCAGGATCCTTCAAATGTGTTTGTAGAGAAGGTTACCATGGCAACCCCAACAACTGCACAGACATCGATGAGTGTTCGTCCAACACTCATTCGTGTTCACCGCACGCACAATGTCTAAACTATAATGGCTCKTATTCCTGTCGATGTAACCCTGGTTACCATGGCAGYGGTTACACGTGCCAGGATATTAACGAATGTAGTAGTAAAGAATCTCATCATTGCCATGGTAACGCAAGCTGTATCAATAAACACGGGACGTACACTTGTTGCTGTAGGGATGGATTCGAAGGGRATGGATGGAATTGCACAGGTAAATTGACTTGACTATCATTAAACATCTAGCTCAGTGAAGGAAGTCTTTAGCATTACGATACCTTTATTCGAAAGCATCATAGAATAGTTACACGGGTGGATATATTCCAAAATGCACATCACATCTGAATGTTTCAGTCAGTGGATAACATATTTTTCAYTGCCACCAGATATCGATGAATGCAGGTGGTTGCCTCGTGTCTGCCACCGTCATGCTGGGTGTATTAATACTCCAGGATCCCATGAATGTCGTTGCTTAGAGGGATATTCAGGAAATGGTCACAACTGTACAGGTAAAATCTGATGCATTCTATGAAAACCCTCTGCCAAACAGCAGGTTTGTTAAATCTACATCAGTCAAATTTAACCTATTGTTTTGATTTTTTCAGCTCTTTATGTTCATGCTTCAACAAAAACTCGTTCMTCGTTGTTCCTTGGCATCGTGGTTGGGTTACCAGTCGTGGCATTGTCTCTAATCATCTCAATAATATGCGTCTTTTTATTCACCCGCCGCAGGTATGTCTGTAAAAATCTCGCGTCACTTTATAGTAGCCTTAGCACTGACTTAATTTCAAGAAGSCTCGGCTTAATTTCCCGTGACCAAAAGGAATGAGAGACGAAGTTCTAGGCGGCTGCTCGAAGACTGGGCAAAGTATTTGGGTWGACAGAGGTCGATATTGCGAGCAAAATTAGCAAAGTTAAATATCCATACGTATGCTCCATTATTTTTAATTCAGAAAAAGAAAAGAAAAGMAAAGCAAAGAATAATTAACAAAAGCTTAGTAAGAATAAAGTTTTGATAACCCATCCAAATGCTAACGCCCCTTGAACGGGCTTGACTCAGTATCTTGAATTGGAAGCCCAAGTTTTTTCCACTGGGCCACGGTTTCAGGTGAATTAGCATAACAATAGCMGTGAAAACAATGTATCAGATAGACTATTCTTTTTAACATCACAATTTCAACGATTCCGTGCGTGGCAGAGATGCAAGGGATTAGCCGATATGGTCTGGGGGCCGGCTGATCTCTCCCCTGATGCTTTGGCTAGAACATTTTCTTGCGTAATTCGTACACCCAAGGGCAGAAGGATTTAATCGCCGTCAGGTCCGAAGTCCATACGACGCCCCAGCTCTGCGGATGTCTCGGGGGTATGGCACAGTGGAATCGATTTTTTTAGATGTCTGTCTTTGGGTTCGAATCCCACCGTATTCAGAAAAGATAAAAAAAAATGGGCATATTTTTAATCCTTAAATTCTTCGGGATTCTCAGTCAACATTAGTCATTCTTTATTAAATGGAAAAACTACTTGATTTTTTATGCATACGTTCGATTGGATCCAAAAGAGTCGAGCTATGCTTTCACAGTTTGTAATACTGCTTTGTAACKGTTTACTGACACAATCTTTTATCCCTGTTGTTTCAGTATATTTCCTCTCCACWATTTCCATGTTTTCTGTTTATTATCATATTACTGCAGTTTCTGACTGTCTACCTAGTGCCCAGACCCCGAGAATTCCCGAGAGACCCCGAGAGACAAACAAGATGCACCTACATTAGAAAACCAATTATGAACTAAACAGATGTCCAATCACAAAGATTTTATAATTAATTTCCACGTTAAGTACCCATGTAGACAAGCATAAATTACTACTCAGGTTAACGACACATACGTGGTTTAGTTCTAGTCGATAACATAATACTGTTTTTTTTCCTYCATTTCAGACGGAATCGAGTGACACGACGACCAAGATCTTCCAAGGTATCCCGCCCATCAAGTACAGTCATTGGTCAAATAGACCAGCTCTTCGATGAAGAACATTCTAAAAGATCATTACGTGATTCGGTGTCTTTAAGGTCACTACAGTTTAGTATACCCAGCGTACATCCTTCGTTAGTCGCGCTAAACAATATTGGTTCTGCTACACCAACCAAGATCGCTCCAGCATATGAAACTCTATGACGAATCTGCCGGCAAGCATTGCCAAATAACAGACATAAATGATATGGCAGGAAAAAATAGGGTTCGTGTTTTTCGATAACTGACGCCCCTATCACGGCATCACCGCTAATCAGTTGTCTTTTAAAACTATTCTTTTTGTTGCATTGGCCGGGTTTTCTATACTTGCTCTAAAACTTGACTACAGTGCAAACTGAACTGATCCTCTTAGCAGAGCAGGGGAACAAAAGTGCTTACCTAATATCGCTTCAATTCTCAATCCATAACGGCAGCTTTTCAGTTAACATTTTCAGCATGATAAGATCATAAATTAGGTTGCCGTTTTTGCCATTTTTCATTGGCACTGTTCATATGCATCGTAGTAAATGAAAGACGGTATYAAGAAGTGATGATATCAAAGACATGCAATGAACCAACACGACGATCAACAGATATCTGATGTGATTATGTAGAAATCTATTTCATAAATAGCAGAAATATAATGTGTAAGTTTTATTGCATTGTACCATAGATTTGTATTCCTAGGCTTTTACAATACGAATAAACTATTTTTAGGATCAAGATCCAAGGGCAGATTTGTGAGATTTAGAAGAAAAAAATGGTATAATGAAAAATAAAAATTGGTGGACCTCCCTCATCTTGTAAACCACTGGGCTGCCAGTTACAACTGGTATAAATTGTTTTCCACAGGGCTACCATAAATGGAAATACTGAGTGCCATGCTCCTGAGGACTGTCGATTGTGAGCGAGCATGACTGTACCCTACCCCACTACCTTTATTCTCATTGCTGAGAGGCTCCATAAGGCTGATTTGAAACGTGATTCGGACTAAGTTATGTTTATTCTCATTTYTTCCGATCGAGAAAGCGTGTATACGAGAATATACCGGCATTAAATTTAATTTGAACTTTATTTCATTTGTGCGATTAACTATGACTGCAGATGATTGATTGCAGTTATTCAGGAATGAATATTTTTGTAATATATTTTCAATAAAATTTCATTTATGTTCCAGCCGCGGTTCTGTCTAAAAACATTTATATTTCCATCAATCTGATTAATTACTGCCTCGTAATGACACAGATTGTGGCGTTTCTTTATTATATTTAATGTTATTTTTTATTGTAATTTTTGGATCAGTATTAATGTAGACCGGGCGTAGCCTGGGAAGGTGTGGCGAATGAACAATACTAATGAGCACTACCGCTGAACGTAGTTGGGCCCGCGGTACTGGTTTTCTCGGGATTTTTTACCAGTAAACAGAGGGTGCGGGCGATAGAAAGGCTAGTTTTATTCGCTTGTATTCCACTGCATTCCTATCTGATTGCTTCATCTGCAAGACTACATAACCATCAAGGTGGATTTAGCCTTCGATCTTCGCTTTTGAAGGTAATAGTTTGATTAATCATGTTTGTATTGTGCAGTTTGCTATAGCTTCTAGTGCTCACGCTTCAATACACCTTYACCAACTCGTGCTTCATTTGATGCTGGTTGGTTTTCTTTGCGCTATTTACGAGCCTGTTAATTCTTCTTGTCTCATAAGTTGTGTATAACTMTAGTCTTTGACCTCGACAAAGAGTTTGTTTTTTTCTATTCCTTGCAATGTCGTTCAACCCGCCCTCTCGTCGATTATCAGACTCACCGCCAACCGATTCTTTTTTTCTCGAACAAGATTGCTTCTTCGATGTTCGTGCACGTCGTTTCCCGAGAGAGCACTTAGTTAGACCAGATTCATCCTAAGATATCTTTAGATTGTTTTTTCTATTTTGACCTCGGCAAAAGATGAGATCTGCGTAATTTCAGTGTAAGCCATTTTGACCAAGTGTGCTAGTGTAATTATATTACACCAAAATGGCGGCAGAAAGGTTTTCGAGAACAGTTTTCTATGGAAAAGCCTACCCTTTTTTCTCATGCAAGCCCTTGGGCATATCGACTCAAAATGGTGGACAGAATCAAATGAAACCAGTTATAAGTYCTACTAGTAATTATTGTTGAAGAACCATGAATCAAATCTAGTATGTTTTCTTTGAATTGACACCAATAAACGTGGTATCAGAGAAAAAGTCAAGTTATTATTCAAAGCGGAGGTATTTCCTTCCGAAATGATTGGTCTTGGAAGCTTAATGTTTTTCTTATAATATATGCCTAATCGATAACATCAATTGAACTYAACTTCTAGAAGATTCAACTTTAAAAACCCACAACAGGAATCAAATYTATAATGTCGTGATTATGAATTACCTGCTGAAAATTACTGCAAAACAATATGTGCATGTAGTCACTTTCCAGTTGCTTCTGGAAAATCACTCAACCCCTTAAACTGTTTCCTTTACATGAATTAATGTTTTTGTTGACCTAATCAATCTATTTCTGTGATATAAAATGTTTTGTAGAAAACCATATAAAATACTATAATAAGAATATGTGGTGTCATCTGATATGATATAAAGTGTTCTAGAAGGATTGCCATCATGTTGTGGTCGTCGTTATTATAGTGCTGATGGAGGGTTTTCCCTTGCACTGCTAAAATTAGATAAACATGGTAAAAGTGAAAATAAATTATCATAGATTTTGAATACATCCGAAAAAAGAAAAGCGTTATTTGTTTTTCCGTYTTTTTCAGGAGTCATAAATTATTTTAATAAGTTTGTGGTGCTTAATTGTCATGATAATCTGTTTCAGGAAAATATGGCAGAGAAACTTAGGATTTCCTATCATCATCACACATATATTACTGTATTCAATGCCTGGGATATAAAATAATAATGCATACATGTATTAACAAAGTTGATTCTTCAAACCTCTTACATAATATGTCAMGTGTAAATATTTTTGATATTTGATATATTGACTTTGTTTCTTGATAGATTATCTTGCCATTTAATTATTTCCATAAATAATCCATTAATGAAAAACAAACAGTATTGTTTTTTTCTTCAGTAAGCATTTGTGATTGTGCAATCATAATAATTGTTGATAAAGTATATTGTCATTTCTAAATCTTGCATTCTCTCTGWCTTAAATGATAAAATGATAATAGAATTATCTGCAATGTATAAAAATATACTTGGCTTGATTGATAGGATTATATTTCAGCACATCGCTGTATTTGTYTACATCATGTTACATGAAGTATTAATTGTCTTTGTGTTATAAGTTGATCTTAGGCTTCAACTATAAACACAGTTAATCTTTCCTAATATAGTACAAATATGAGAGCTGTAATGAAAGGATATTTATGGTAAACAGTTTGTTTATATATGATTCCAAGGACAGTCTCAAGGTACATTTGAGTAGCTTACATATATAAATATSAGGCAATTTGTATGGCTATAGCAATTGTAAAAGAGTTCCTTTGTTGGTGTRAAACTGTTGTTATTTTTGATCATTATGTACTACTAGTTGTAATTACAGCAGATATATTTATTGACAATGGTGTTATATCATGTATTCCTTAGGACAAGTGAAGATTAGAGATGTCAGCAGAAAGTCCARCTCATGGCAAGCTGAAACCTGGTGGGAATGAGCCAATCTGCACCCTTACAGCATCTGAATGTGACCCAGCTATAGGATGCCTYGTTCTCATCCCAAAAGACAGCAAAGACCTTCGAGTAAAACTTGGAATTGGTTCAGCTTTCTCTAGTATTCAACATTATGCTTTTGTTGCTGCAACCCCAGCCTTCAAGGAATCAAACAGTGRCATTAATGTTGTCATTGCTCGTGGATACACCAATACTGGAGACAAAAAATTCACCATCAAACCCAGCCACAAAAAAGTTGTAGCTCCAGAGTTAGGCTCAACTAGAGATGCAACCTGGCTGCTAGTGTCCTGTCAAGAAGGTTTGAAGGGATCTCGTATGCGCAAGTTCCTAAAGGGGATTCATATCTTTGATGACGAAGATCCTTCTGTGATTTGCAAGAATAATTCCGAATTAATTGCAGTTGGAACAAGTGAAGGCAAGCTTGTATACCAGCCATTTAAAATAGTAACAACAGATGAAGATACTTTTGTTGTTGGTCGTGATGTCTTCAGAGATCTTAAGCCATCTGGTCCCATTTTGGATAAAGAAAACAAAAATGTTCTTGGATACTAYTGGAGCAGAGAAAATAAAATGGTTGTGTCCTGGATAGCAAGAGGTGGGTTCGCTCAAACTGCTTTTAAATCATAACCATATTGATTGATGTGAATAGTATTTTTACTATTTTAATATATTTTAAGATTCTCCTAGCAGTTAAAATGATTGGCTGATTATAAGACATGACTGTTAACAAAAAACGTTTCCCCCTTTTTGCATATTTTTTTTTTCCATTTCGTTTTTTTTTTTCCAGTCTTAAATGCTCTTAAAAGACTGTAAAAAAACTCCTGCAACTCAACTATGATATGGCAAATAACTTCTTCCAAMAAGCATTTTGTAGTCTGGGACTTGAGCTGAGTTGATTCCTTGGTGCGAAGGTGTGTGAATATGATATTGAAATCTGCTTGTTTCCAGGACAAGTTGTGGTTGAGATTGCAGATCAAATCATCTACATTGATGGTCCTACCAGTGAGAAAAATGGAGGTATGCAAAATACTGTATATAAACAATATATGAACACATATATATATGAACATATATTTACTGYGTAATACAATATGTATTACAGAAATATGAATCCATCTAAAAAAAATAAACTAGCTATTTAAAACTACTACGATAAATCATGAATAAATCCATAAGGACTTTAGAATAATCCGTTCATTCTGCTCTAAGTATCATTCCCACATTTGATATATGAATTTATTTTTATAATGGTACAAGTAGTTTAAGAAAAGCAGGTTTTCCATAAAGTATTTTTAATGTTTGATTATTTTCATTATTTTGCAATAATAGATGGTACAAAACACAACAACTTTACCCATTTTGAATGAAAAAATGTACTTATGGACTTACGTTCAAAAAGTGTTGTTGGTCTTTATTAGATAATGACAAAGTATCAATAACAGTATTTTTTATCTTTTATATTAAAATATTTAAAAAAAAAATTATTATGAGTTAAACAAAATATTCTGAAGAAATTCTTATSAAAGTAATTCTTTGTCCAAAAATCAAATAACTTATATAGGAKTTTTCAATTTAAACATGATGGCAACTTATTTTACAGCTGTGGTTTCTGTCGTAAATGCTCAACAGCTGGAAAGTGAGCCTCAACAGAAAGGTCTGTCTGTCAAACAACTATAGTTTGCATGATGGTGTTCTCCAGCTGAGCTTGGATGTGATGCATGTTTTTGGTGCAATAAAATGTACACTGTGTTGAAGTTTTTCTTGAGTTGCTACAACTATTAAAATAAAATAATTTGCATGTAAATCTATGTAAGGCTAAAACTGCTAGCAAGTAAACCAAGTTATAAGTGATTTAAATGTTTAAAAATTGAAGTAGCAGAGCTTAAAATAACAGCCAGTTGTTATCTCAGTCACCATGCAGTCATGATCACCAGCCTACATGTAAGTAGTTACATTAGCTTGGTCATATGTTATTTCTGGCTGAGTTCATTACTGGTCAAAGTAACTTGCAAGGCATATTTGACTGGACAAGTTCAAATTGTGGCCAGATATTGTCTAATGGCAGGCTTTTATTTWAAGCCATGAGTTGCATGCTGCATTCACTTTGCTTATTCTGCTGCAATCACTGCATGCATATTGCATCCATAACTTATAAATTGTTGTGAACAAGATCCAGCTGCATGTAACTGCCGATAAGATAAATATTTGTGCTTGCTTGGGCTTTTATGGTGTTGGGTTACATAAACTAGCTTTGATAATCATTCAGCACTTTTTTGATGCCTTATGATTATGCAATTTTTTTCTTATTTTAATTTATTCCCATTTCTAAAAAATTCTTTTYCTATTGTGCTTGTTATTTGGATTTTGTCTTACCCTCTTTAAAATGAATAATCTACTCCTTTCCTTCCTCTCACCCCATCCTACCCAAATCCCAATCCCGACCCTATCCCAATCCCACCCCTATCCCAATCCCACCCCAATCCCATCCCAATCCCACTCCTATCCCAATCTCACCCACATCCCACCCACATCCTGTCCCATCCAAATTCTTTACTGTACTTAATTATTTATGTTTTATAACAGTTGTCCACAAACAAAGAGTTAGCATCCAAGAAATTGAAATGGACATTTACAGAGGTGAAAAACCAAAGGATAGTGACCCTGAAGTGCAAATTCAAGTTTCACCAGGTAAAACGAGAGAGTGTTCTTGTGCATGTGTGTGTGTGGTCAGTTGTGATTGTTGGGTTACATTAGTTAGTGAACACATTTACCATGAATAATCTTTTTCATTTTGAATTTGTGATTGTTGGTTGTCTTAGTGGTGGTTTTTGGTTGTTTTATCGGGTCGTGTTTATTTTTTATGTCCATAAATATGAGGGGCTAATTTGTGGTTTACTATTGTCAACTGCTTGAACTGTATCATATAGTTAATTACTTATCATTTTCTTTTCGTTTCATGCATTTTCTTACATTGGTCTGTTCTAGATGATGACTTGGAAAAGCTGTGGGAAAAAGATAGYGAATTCCGTAACCAAATATGTGTGAGTCTTGATCGTGTGTACAAGATAAAAGGAAGTGTTAAATTCTGGCTTAACCTCAGTGAGGAGTTCAAAGTTCCMAGAGCAGAACATGAGAACTTTTCAAAGGGAGAAACATTCAGTCCATCAGAGAGAATGTTTAGATACATTGAAGCAGCAAAACCTCGTCTGACAATTGAACAGCTCCAGAATGCTTTCTTGGCATGCCATCATGAGGATATGAATAGAATACTACAGGAATACATTAATGGTATGTATAGTCCTGTTATGTTATGTCCTGTCCCTTTATAAGCAAAAATAATTTTATTTTGTCTTGTCTGGCTATTTGTTGGTTCTCTCCTGCATWAGATATTTCCATGTGCTAAATGTATGTGTCTATTTATTTTGTGCAAGTGATAATTTTTTTGTGTGCTGATGTCACCCTTCAATAAACRACCCTTTTTTCTTTTTAATAGCTGGATACATGAAAAAAGTCAAGTTTGTTGCAGAGATGGGGTCCTTCACTCCAAGCATTCTTGGTCAATTGATGGTTAAAATGGATCRGGACAAGTATTGGAAAGATTTGGCAACACAACTGGAAATCCCGAAACGAGTATTTGAACAGTTTGGCGAAGAGCTGGAGAACAATCCTACTCGTCAGCTGTTGCATCTCGCTCACACGAGAAATACCAAGATCACAGTAGAAGACCTTAAAGCCAAGCTGAAGACCTTAGAGAGAGRTGATGTGCTGAAAGATTTTGAAGAAGTGCCTGGTGAGTAATTGTCAGTTAAATACAGTTTGAATCAAGAAACTTGTTTGTTCATGTTCAGTGCATACATTTTGTATCTGTTGAAGACATTCAAGTACTTTTCTTTCTCTCATATTTCAAACCTTTGAATGATARCCAAAATATTTATATCTTTACAGATAAGATTGGAATAGATGCTCTTCTAAATCACTTYGATGTCACTGAGCACATCGAAGCCAAGCTTAACAGGGAAGACTCCTTCCTTCAGAACTGGAGGGAACTTGCACAGCTGTACAAACAAGATGGTCTCATCGAGGAAGAGGACATTCCAAGCCTGGAACCCAAGAAAGACCCTCGCAGCCCTACGGCTGGATTGATGCTGCATGCCTTGAAGCRTGATTCTGGTTCAGTCAAAGTAGAAGATTTGGTTGTTTATCTGGCCAAAATGAGAAGAACAGATTGTTTGAATATTGTTGCTCGTTATCTCAAAGGTATGTCATATCTTATCCATTCCAGCTCATTACCACAGATATATCCCCATGCTGTTTGCTATGCTGAGGTCCTCAAGTTTTTGCTGCATTCCCTAAAAAGAGCATTTCCTATACTATATACTAGGATTCAAAAGACAGAACCAAGAGTAGCTAGTGTGTCATTGCTGTCTGAGTTGCAAAGAGAAATGTTCTGTCATATTTATTGTTTTTTTACTTATCTTTTTTTCAAAGGTGGATGGAGAGATATTGATCACATTCTGGCCAAACACCCACAGCTGGGCTACACAAAAACCTATAGAGAGCAACGTTAATGCAGAAAATRTATATCACTAAAGCAGCAGTAGTAATAAAAGAGTAAAACTCTTTAAAAAACATCCACCTTGAGTCCTTGCTGTCACGGCACTTGGATTAAAACAGTGAAAACATTCAGTAAAAGCTGTGTTTAGTCAACTCCAATAACAGGATAATTGTTTTAATTTTTATATCTACACAGGAAAAACATTCARTTAAGGTATTTTAGTATTTTTATCCATTTAAACAAAAATTCAGTTTTCAAGTTAAGTAAAATTTGTTTTTACTTTTAGTAGATAATTTATTATTACTGGGTTTTAGATATAATAAATGACCCAAGAAATAGAAATAGGTTTTTTTAGTTTTTAGTAAAATAAGAGTGCTTGCAGCAAACGGAAAAGAGCTTGTTACAGGAAAGCTCATCATTAACWACTAACAATCAAGAAACACATACAAAGTACAAAGCTGTACAGCATACTCTACTCACGTCTTGTTTAATTCAGTATCATTGATCAGTTAGAAGCCAACTTTAGCCAGATCTATAATGAATAAGTGCCTCAGTGGCAACGCATGCCTATGATGGCATTTAATGGATAAAATTGCTGCCATAGAGCCACTGCAAAGAAAATGTAATATTAATGTTTTGTGAGTCATGAGGTCCAGCTATAGTGGTCCATTCTAGCCTTTGTACTGTCATTCAAGCAACACTGACTGACATTTCAAAATTTCAAAATCTTTTTTTTTAATTCTCTTGATTCATGAGTACACTGATCATAAAATAGAGAAGCTCTGGCTTTTTTATCTGTTGTGGAATTATTAATTTCGCCTTTTCATCTCTAAAAATACTGTATGTGACCAGCCATTACTAATATTAAGAAATATTAAGGCTCACATTGATGTTTATTACTTTTGTGCTTTAAGCAGCTTCTATCAACCAAATCCAAATGTGGTAACCAATTAGATTAACTATTTTTCTGGACTAACTAGCCATGTGTTCACGTGGAAACATAAAAGTGCTTTCAACATGCATATGTAAGAGATTAGAGGTTAGTCCAGAACAATAGTTATTCAAATTGATAACCATATTTCAATTTGGCATAGATTGATCTGCTGCTACATCTCAGCCTGTGAAAATAAGAGGGTCGTTAACAAAGGGACAGGGATCCCATAGTACTTAGTTGTTTAACTCATGGATTCTACACTATAAATTCTGTTGTAGTAGTTAGGATGTTGTTATATGCATGAAAAAATAATGCATGTTGCTTTAGTTACCCTGCCAGCAGAGGTCCTTTTCTACATCTGCTGAGAAGCAAGAGGGATCATTGATTTAACATCTAAATGACGTAGACATGACATTTGCATAAATCCAGCTCTGCATGCTCAACATGATAATTTGCAGGTGCCGACAGGTTTTTTCCTCTCTCTTCCTAGTGGGGTAGAAAAGCATCTCTGCTTACAGGGAATTTAGTAACAAAACTTTACTTTAGCTTTTCAAAAATTGTGAAGAATTCAAATTTCCTTGCTAACTGGAAGTTCCATTATCAAGTCAATAATAATCATATTCGTCACTACCCATAATACTATCACTGATTGGAAAGATGATTGATAAATAAAGGCAATAAATAAAAGTGTCATCCATTGTATTAAAAGTGAGCTGTCGATTGTGCCCTATCTTTAAGGTAGAAAGTAATTTCTACTGTGTAGTGTATAATTAATGATAATAAAGAGGAGAATAGAGTAAGTATTTGCTTACCAAGGAGTTTTGACCTTATTTTTATTTTTGAACACTGAAATAGTTTTCAATGTGTATCTCAAGAGTGGGCTACCTGTGGCATATCCCACACTGGTGTAGGAATAAAGGTGGAATGCATGAAGCTGGGTTAGTTCAACATAAGCATAAGCATAAGAAACATAGTACTATTGTAATTCTTATGCTTATGTACACCTGATTTCACAAACATAAGCATAAGAAAATGGAAAAGTTTCCATTCCTTATGCTTATGCTTATGCTTACCAGCCCTAAGTAAAGTTGCAGGGAAGGCGAAGACGGGGGGCTGGGGGGAGCTTTTGCATACCATGATGATGTCATACATTTATAAATAGGTAACGCAAGATGGCGTCTTTTTTATAACTTGGGATTTGTGGCTTTCCTCTATTCATATTTTAGACTTCCGAAAGCTTACTAACAATCTTTAAACGTTTCAAATAGTTGTAATGAAAGCGAAGAAAGTGTGAAAATTTTTAAAATCAAAGTAAAACAATGAAAGCATTTGACACATTAATAGTTGCTTTGGTTTTGTGGTTTGCGTATGATCATGAGGTGAGTTTTTAAAATCTTATTTAAATAATTAACAGACATGAGATATTAGATATATGAGTTTGAGCTTTTGATGATCTTGCAGTGTATTTGATGCCTTTTTTATTTATACTTATTCAAGCAATTAATCCAGCAAATTGTATATAAGCTTACTGTAAAGAAATACAATAATGACGGTATATTTGCTCCACTTGCTTCCAATCTGAATGATCAGTTCTGCAATTATAAACATAATAGTTATTAAAATGTTAATCACATCTGGATCCGATTAATGTTTGGCAAATGCATAGCAACCATTCATCGGACAATGTCTGGTCAAATTTTTGCCTTTCATTTTGAGTAGTTAAATGTTGAGCTAGAAACAAGGCATTATCATGAAGTTCAAACTAATTTGGTCTGTCATCAAGTCTGACCACTGACTTATTTACGGCCACAGACTGAGTAAACTGCTGGTCGCAGGTTGCAGAAGAAGAGATCACTCACAATATATTATTTACTGTAGTTTAAACCTGCAGTTTGCTCTGTCCAGCAGACTGCATGTGATTATTTTAAGAGGCTGTCCGTGTAAGAACGGATAAGGCAAAATTGGACCCATCACCGATTTTCCTGATTTTCTTAGTAAAAGTCCACTATTATATGCAATGAACAATTATCACATTTATTTGGATCAATTCGGATTTTTAGGTACTTTANCTATGCAGTATTTAATTTTTAGAAACAATTTTAACAACACATTAAGAACATTTTCAGACTGATTTTGTAGAAAACACCCGATATATGAGAACAAAATCAGCCTGAACCCCCAAAACACATGTTCTTTTATGCAGGAAAATAAATTCTACTGTGTAGTGTATAATTAATGATAATAAAGAGGAGAATAGAGTAATTATTTGCTTACCAAGGAGTTTTGACCTTATTTTTATTTTTGAATGTTACTCAGTTTTAATGGAAGACGGAAGTACGTTCCTCAAGAGTGGGCTACCTGTGCAATATGTGCCCCATGAAGGCAGAATGATGCTAAGTGTATTAGAAATATACTGAAAACATACTAGTATCCCTCGTGGACTACTGGAGATGTCCAGCATAAAGAGGCGTACAATATTGATGTTTATTATGCTTGTCAAGAAGGCTCTAAATATCCACAACTAATAGATATTTGTTGAAAAAGGATATAGAGTACAAACACTATAAGTGTGTAACATAAATACCACTAAATACTGCTAAATTATGCTAATCCTATTGTTCTCTATTGTTTAATTAGCACTATTTACTACTAAATAGTGCAAAGTGTTGCACACTTTTAAGCTCTGTTTACACTGGCGATATTTGCACGGATTTTTGCTGCGTTTTTTGTGTGGTAATTTTCGAAAGTCACAAATATGCCAGATCCCTTTATTCACAACTTAAGCCTCACATCAGTGCAAGTTTTGAATTTGGTCTATTATGGACAAAATCGCAAAAAAATCGCCACAAAAAACGCTAGTGTAAACGGGGCTTTAGTGTTTGTACTCTATTTGTCCACATCCTCATATAAACATTGAAATGGCATAATCAAATGAGTCTGATATATATTCATTGCTTTTCTAAACATATATATATATGTTTATATATGTATTTGTTTGAGAAGAAAAAGTCAAGACAACATTAAATCCCCTGAAGAGTGAAGCAATTCACGAAACAGGCTTGTCAGGAAAAATGTTAACTTGACTTTTTCTTCTCAAACAAATATTCTGCTCTACTTCTATCAATGTATTGAGCACTATTTTATGGAAAATTGATTCACAGATTTCTTATGTATATATATATGTATATATATATACAGCCATTTGCAAAAATTATGGCCGCTTCCATACATATGTACAAGTATATCAAAAGCATATCAAATATTATGGGATATCATTCCTGATATTTTTTTCGAGTTATTGATCACTTGGGCTTTCCGAAAAAAATATCAAGAAAGATATCTCGCCGTGTCTGATATAATTTTGATATACCTGTATGTATATCTGAAACGGCCATAATTTTTGCAAATGGCTGTGTATATATATATATTATAATTTGAGACTGGAAGATGACGTCACCTGACAAGAACATGGAATGGAGGTCTGGTAGTCGATTTTTTTAAATTCTATAAATCCATTGAATCTTTTGGAATTAAAAAAGCACTATCAATAATAATAATAACAACAACAACAACAACAATAATGATAATAATAATTTGTAATTTGTTTATATGTTTCATTTTTTTAAACTATGATTTGATGTGAGGTAAATGCTAAATAAAATAAAATAAAATATAAATAAGATATTCTTCTCAGGTGACGTCATTTTCTTTAATATATGTGTGTTCCAAGAATGATTACGAAATCTGCACTACCATGATGTCATAGATTTATAAATAGGTAATGCAAGATGGCGACCAAGCGGTTTTTATAACTCAGTTTGTGGCTTTCATCCCTTCGCCTTTTAGACTTCCGAAGGTTTAAGCTTGCTAACAATCTTTAAACGTTTCAGATAGTCGTAATGAGAGCGAAGAATTTGTTGTGAATTTTTAAAATCAAAGTAAAACGATTCCAAAAAGTTGAAGAATTTGAAAGTTCTTTTGAAAGCTGTTCAACAATGAAAGTATTTGACACATTAATCGTTGGTTTGGTTTTATGGTCTGCAAATGAGGTGAGTTTTTTATCTTATCTCAAAGAATTAACAGACATGAGATATTGGATATACAAGTTTGAGCTTTTGTTGATCTTAACGCTGCGTGCTTGATGCAAACTGTCTTGCAAATTGTTTTTATTTCTGCTGAATCAAGAAATTATATATCCAGCACATATATTTGTAAGACATACAATAATGACGGTATATTTGTTACGCTTTCTTCCAATCTGAATGATCAGTTCTGCAATATAAACATAATAGTTATTAAAATGTTAACCTGATTGATATTTGGCAAATGAATCGTTTTGGAGATTAATATATTAATTACCCAACCCTTTTTAACCCAATTAGACAAGTTGCATAAAAATTTGTCTAGTGTATAAGCATACTTAAAATAAGGACCATTCATCAGACAATTAATGTCTGGCCAGAATTGGAACATGTCCAGTCGAATCTTTGCCTTTCCAGTCATTTTGAGCCAGAAACAATATTTAAGGCCTGTATATCTGATATGACCAATTCAAGTTAAAACTAATTTGGCATCATGACTGTCATCATGACTGACCACTGTCTGGCCGTTATTTTAAGCCTTGATAGATAATATAAAATATATATTTAGGCACTGCCTAAAAGTGGAGCTCCGGATACGGAAGTCACAGGGAGAACAATTTGAATGAAACTGAAAGGTAAAAATAAGATTGGGGAAAAAATCTTCAATTATTTTTTTTTTTCGAGATGAAGATAATTTCTCCCATAATAAAAACCATGCAGTGAAATTTCCCCCCTTTGGGTTTACTCAAAGGGATTAATTGCCATATTGACGCATTTCCGGTTCGGATCTAGCCTGCAGAGCAAGCATTCTTGTGGTGGGTTTGGGAAAGAATCGCCGTTTTGGGGTTCCTGTTCCTGAAAAATGGGACCTTCAAAAAAAGGGAACGTGGGGGGAGGGGGAGTGGAAAGAAGGGAATGCCTGCCAGCATCCCTTGTTATTTTCTTCCCCTTCCCACCCCCTCCCCCTTCGCTTCTTTTTTGCTTGGTTTCAATTCTCACTCATTCCAAATGTCCAAAATTCCCACAAAACCCCGGTTTTCCCCCAAACCCACAAGATTGCCTGCTTTACAGGCTAGTTCGGATCAGGTTCGCATAGTTATATTACCAGATGTTTCTTCCATGATATCGAAATGCACTGCATTGTTTGTTTTTGTTTTTTTTTTGTGCGAGTATACTCTCCCACTTAGGAATTTTGTACACAACTCACCACCACCCCCAGGGGCTAGTTTTGTTCTTGGAAAATTCTTCAACAAAGTTTTCCAAGGCTGACAGTTTAAGGCTTTGAATCTCTTTTACTTAAAAAAAACATGAAAGATAACTACAGATAATCTAATACAATATCAAGTTTAGTGGAATTTACCTCGGATGTCTTTCATTGAAATCAAAAATCTGGAGATTTAAGACAAATCAAGACCAAAAAACAGACATGAAAACTGGTTAAGGTGAGCAGAAAACATATACTTACTTAATTACGTCTTTTACAGAACGAGACGAAGTTTACATTCAGTTAAATTTGACAAGAACAACTGAGACAAAATACAAAATAATGCAAAAGGCAATGCAAAATACAAAATGATGGATTTATTTGTCAGTAAATTAAATTGGCGTTTGTAAATGTTTTTGAATATTTTTTAGCTTTTTAAAGTGAAAGTCTAGGTCTTTGTACAATAACATCTCTCAACAAAACAAATTTGAGCTCATTTTTATAATCATACTTGCCCGATCGCGAATAGCTTAATAAACAGTTGAATATTATTTTGGTGTAAATTTATATTTCATTCAATAATTAAATAAATTATCAGTAGAAAGATATAAAATTATTGAATGAAAGTCTTTGTTTTGTTGATGGGACCCCGCGATGGGAGGCGAACAAAACTGCATTTTTCTTGAATGAAAAACATACGATAGTTGGTTAAAAACAACCGAATTGTTAAGAGATTTACAAAGCTAAATACAGGACTAATATTTGTTGTAATAAGCTCTTCCTGTTATATTTCATCCAGCATTAAAATAAATTAACTCTTAGTCCCAACAGGATTAATGAACACTTTACTTTCAACTAACCTTTTCTTTTGTCTTTTGATTGTTTGTTTTTGTTTCCTTGCCTACCTTGCTCTCATTGGTTTCTTTTGTCTT